ATTGTCATATTTGATTAATATAGTTGTGGAAATAAAGACATTTCTTTACCTCTGATACATTTAGTGTATTTTGGAAATGAAATGGTTTTCAAAACAAAACAAAAAGCTCTTGTACCCCTATAGTCTAGTTGAATTAGGGAATAGAATTATTAAGGGATTAGAGTAACATAACTAAGCCAGAATGAGTAAGGAAGGCTAGCAAGCAGATAAATGAGTACAACTACACCTTTTAAATTCCTGTTATTTTATTCTTAGTTTCCTTAGGAGTTTCATAAGATCTTAATATGAATACTGGACTAAAAGCTTTATAACTATCAGTAAGCTAAATATTTCCTCTGAATTTTAGGAGGTTTTTTGTCTGCAAAATGAGTATAATACCTTTTACTTTGTAGTGTTTTAACCAGTACATTTAACTTATTTAAAACCTGACATGATTAATGGTAGTTAATAGCAATTTATTATTACTACTTTGTTGTTTCATTCTTGATAGTGATATTCTTAAAGGGACAAAGGGAATATGAAAAGGAAAAGTTTTTATAGTTAAACATAGATGGGGTTGAACAAAATAGAATATTAATTTTATAGAGTTGGTAGAAAATTAATCTTTACTGGAAAGTTGACTGGCCTATTTTTGGTATTAACAAAATTACCTTCCGTCTTTTTTTTTTTTAAATGATGATGATAGTACTTAAATAATTGAATCCAAGTCATTCTGGCTTTTCAGATGTTTAGGAAATAGATGCATAAAGACCCTGTATTTTGGATGGAAGATGATGGAGAATATTTTGAGATTGCTGCTGTTTTCTTTATTCCTTTATGTGTCTGAAAATGAAATTTTCTTCTTCTGATCTTAAAATTCTGGTATATCCTCAGATCTTTCTTTTCCTCTATAATGTAGTTTAATGGTACATGCATTTTTAAAGTAGAAGATCTTTCCTATTGTATTTATTTGGAAATTAAATACAGATAGCTGCAAATAGACTATATCTGAATCATTCCCAACAATTACAACAAAAAAATACTTGGCAGCTGTTATCTTTATTCCCAATTCCTTTTTCTGTTTTCTTTCATTTTCTGAGAAAAACTAAAGGTCTTGAACCAGATCTTTCTTTAACTAATGCAAATAATCCCCTTTCAAGAAGATATGTGCCTCCAAACAGTTTATTGACTATTTCCAGCTAAATCAAGAGAAGGCGAGAATTAGAAACCTAGAAATCAAAATGTTTTATTCAGGAGGTTTTTATGAGGAGTGAGACACAACATAGTACTATGTCAGAGAACAATTTGACTTTAATTTTCAGTTGATAGTACTCTGGCACCAGTAGCTCTGAATTTTGTAATGTAAAATACTTTAGGCACAATCTTGCTTTAATGTCAACATTTCAAAATGAGTAAAAATATTTTAGGAAATAAAATAAAATTTATAGTGGTTGTTAATGAGTTTTAAGGGGTTAAGTTTTTCTTAACCCCTACCCCAACCGTGCACCCCACACATGCTTCTTTGAAGATATATGAAATTTAAAAAATAATAAGTCCAGTGTTGTTTTCTAGTAAATTTGTTTAAAAATATAATTTAAAAAAATATTCCCAATATTTTGCATGATATGTCTCGTCCTTACTCTTTGTCATGGTTATTCTTTCTTAATGAAGTCATTAGAGGACAACTGTGAAACCATCAAAAATTCTATGATGGAGGAGCCAAACATCAATAAGGTACAAAGCATCATTCAACTGAAATTAGAAATTGCATTCTTTAACAAGAAAAATGGTGTTTTCATTTTAGTTTTGGACTGGGATTTGTTTTCATTGCAATTAAATTACTGTTCCCTCAATTTATTCTTCTTTTATTTTAACAAGTTAAATATTGCAACCATAAAATTGCTTGTTTTATTAATAAGAGAATGCAATTTTAAAGGGAGTTGAATGTATCCTGTTTTGGATACAGATTTTTCTGAGTAAATATAGGTTATTAATAAAATATAATTACCATAGCTATTACAGAAAGTATAGTAGTATTGTTCTGTTTTGGAAGTATTACTTTTGAAGTTAAAATT